TCAGGAGGACAGAACTGCGATTCTCCAAATCTCTTTCCATTTTGTGGGTTGTGTGCAAGTGCTCCACATCCCTCTCAGTGGCCTAAACCGGCTGAGAACCCACTGGCAGAATCTTGGTGTTTTTTTGTGCAGGCAATCTTTTTTGTCCTGCAGTTCCTCGATGAACCACCAGGTGTAATCACGCCAAGGCCCCAGTCTCACCCCATACCAGCGCCCCTCGAAGAAATTCGGGGGCAGGAGCAGGTTGTGTTTACGTACTTAAGGTAGTTGAGAGAGTACGTGATTACAAAGAAAATATTTTCTTTTTAACAAGGGATTTGGATTTGAGACTATTTTCCTTCTTTTATAATGCTGTTCTGTACATTAAGTTTAGACGCTTGACATAATAAGGAGTATAAAAACGTCTGGTTGTTGTAATAGCTTGCTCAGACTTTATTGCTGCTGTCCCGGGCTTTTTTTTTTAGGGCTGCCTTGGTTCTTTTATGGAGAAGAGAACAATTAAACGGTATCAAGTAATGAAAGGGCTGCAGCAGTGGGATCGGTGCCTGGCCAGTGTTTCAAGCTGTTTGGAGTTTTCCAGATATCATATTTTATTGCACACCAAGCGAGACTGCGTTGTAAATCACTGACACCGTGAATCGAAAGATGTGTAAATACAGTATGTTGTCATGTTAAAAGCATTTTCTGCAGACTGTATGCATGCAAAAAAGCACTTTGTGTGTCTTCATTATTGTGCACCACACATTAATAAACGGCATCCCTGTGTGGTATTGCCACCAGTGCAAGGTGTATATCTCCCAGGCCTAAGGAGAGTCGGCTCGTGTACTGTAGTCTGCTTGGTTTTCGGGCTTGGCAATGTTTTCAATTTTAAAAAGATAAAATGTAACTAATAAAATTAATGTAAAAAAATGCAGAAAACCATAGCTGTAGCTCATGAGAACATAGAGAATAGACCATTTGGCCCATCTTACCCTTTTGGTATTTAGTGGCAAACTGAAACTCTTAACTCCAAATACTGTGAATTCTAACGTTGGTAGGCCGTTAGACACAATCTGCAATCTGTGAACAGTTGTATATCCAACCAGATAATTTAACATAATCCCATTGCATGTATTATATACAGCAACCAAACCGACCCAAAAGATTTTTAATTGTCTCCATTACAATGCAGTACGTAGGCTTGTATTTGCAGTGTTAGACAGTGCAATAATGAGCTCTGAGGCATGCAGCATTTATTTAGATTAAGTATCAGTTCATGTATGACAGAATACTCTGGAGGATTGTGCAGAGTTTAGCTATAGCTTGAAGAACCACTTTGTGAGAAAGAGGCTGCTACTTGCAGAGTAAGAGAGTAACTGCTGACTTAAGCCTGTCACTTATTTTAGTAAAGCATTGTATCAGGGAAGTCCAAACCACTCCTGGTTTCTGTGTGTTTTCATTCCACTACCATTCTTATAAACCAAAGTCATCTCTTTCTTGGCTTAACGGGACCAATTTTACAGCTTCTTTAGGTACTGCTACTTTGAAGAGACATGCCAGCCCTTCAGGTCCAAGATTGTATTATATAATAAGCTTATCAAAAGGCATTGGCAGTTTGCAGGAATCTTAACAGTACTACAAATACCCAAAGTTACAAACAGGCCTGAGGCAGTGTTTGTTTATAGCATCACTGAACATCACAGAGTTTGGTGAGGTCGGATCAAATAATGTGTAATCGGAAAGTGTTCAGTTTTCCAGGATGTTCTTCAGACATTCCTTCTATCTTTTCCAACCATGAACTACAATGTTAGTAGATTTAGGTAGTAAGTGCTTAAGATTGTTGTTAGCGTTGGGTTTTCAAAACACATTTTTCATGCTTTTTCCTTGAGAGACTCTATGAAATAGGTAGTAAAAATCATTTTAGTCGATGACCTAACTTAGAAAAAATCAAGTGATTTCAATCAGGTTAATTTAAATCATCTGACCCTGATATACACAGTATGTGAGCAGGAACAAACGTTCTTTATAAAAGCAGGCAGGAGGTCTTCGGTTATGTATTGCATTTAAGTTTTTATTCCCAAAAACGATATTGCTGGTGTGCATAAATTAAAATATTTTTTTTCTGAACTTCAGCTTCTGCCGTAAATATGTCAGAAGTAATCGCATTAGTGCTCAGATATTGCTACACGTGTTTTTGATGCGGGATATTATTGTAGCATGTAGCCAATGTTCTCATTACATTGTCGCAATACCAGGCGATAAATCAGATAAGTGGATTCTGCTGGAAAGTACAATAGTGTTCCGAGGGATTGAAGGGAAAAGTTTAAGCAGACGCTGATTAGACGGTTCCCCCTTTCTGATAAATATTTAGTGGAAAGGCAAAACACCAGCTCCCCACAGCTGGAAATACAAGTAAGAAATGATAATTAAATACAGAACTTGAATACATGGACTCAGTTCATGGTGTTGCTGAAACTGCTCTGCCTCAGTAAAGGTTTCAATAAATTCTGCATGAGCTCAGAGCAATCCCCTGGCTGAAGAGTGATGTGGGGAGGGGGGTGTCTGACTTTAATCCACTTTATCCTGGTTGTGTAACAGATCGTTTCACCACAGCGGCCAGCGCCGGACAAGTGATAATAATGACTTCTTTCCATTCTCGGTCAGACAGCTTCAAGAATGATTCGCAGCTCTATTGGTGTGTAATTATACCTTTAGGGTTACTGGAAGTTTGCGAAAGGAATTCCTGATGTTCCATGATCCAGGATCTCCTCGCTTCACAATGGCCTAACGGGAGTTTGGGAAGTACAGACCCATAAATCATGACAGATATATATGTTAGTTTGTTTCCCCCCCCCCCTTTGGTATTGCAGGACTTGCATTATTTTAAGTTTATATTAGATTTGCCTGTCGGTCCTGTACTCATCATTTGAAAGATCAACAGACAGCCTCAAGACATCTCCTCCTTCTTTCAGCATCTATTTCGTGGCTGCATGTGCGATGGCTGTTCGGTCAACTTGTTGGCAGCAGCTCTCGTCCCGCAGCATTTTCGATCGAGGTTCAGATACACATACTTCCCGTGAATTCATCTTCTCAGGAAACAGCTGGCCGAGACCCTTGGGTCAGTTATCAGCTAACCCACCGAACGAGTTAGATGGGGCGAATGGCCTCCTGGTTTCTACCCTTTCCTCTGTTCCCTTGACTGGGTCTTTTTAACGTATCTGAGTTCTGCCATGGTTGGTTCAGACTTTTTATCGTGGGAGGGGGGCGGCGATAAACCCCACGGCAACCCAGACCCAGTGAGAGCCCATCGCAAAAATGAAAACCTGGAAGACGCTTGTGCACACAGCAGTGCGAGAGCGAGCGAGCCGGTTTCTCCGGGGGCTGGATGTGTGTGTGTGTGTGTGGGCACAGTCCCACTTGGTGGGAGAATTCCACGGCGTGCTGGGCCGGTGCTCTGGTCACTTGGTGATGCGAGACGCTCCCACTCGGCCCCAGCACTCCAAGGTCATGGTATGTGAGTGGTGTCAGCTTGTCTCCACTCACGCGGATTAACGGGGGAGAAGGAGCTGATCCGTGGGGGTCTGTGGAAGTGGCCGCCCTTTCTCCTGTGATCAGGCCGATAAGAGCCTGGGGGGGGGGGGTGTGTGGGGGAGAGGAAAAACCCGCTCTCTGTCAAGAGTTCGTTTGCGGCGGGTCAATAAACCCACAGCTGAGATGTCGGCTCGCCCGACAAACCGAGCTCCTCGTCTCTTCGCTGTTAAAAACAAAATTGGGGATCCGGAATATTTGATCCTTCTCACGTGCTGGCCCGTTCACGTGGATGAAAGACAGGTGACGCGTGAGGAGAGTTCAGCCTCCGGCCAGTCATCGGCACAAGGTCTTCTGGCCAGTTAAAGACAGCATGAGCAAGCAAGCCAACTAATGAGAGGGCTACAGCTCACCTTCTTTTGAAATATTAGTTTTTTTTTTACAAAATCCCTGTTTGGCTCCAGTTCCATGAATTCATTACTTCTCTTGCCACGGGAAGGATTCAAAGAAAATACTTACATAAAAAGTTTGGAACTGATGAAGAATAGGGCACATTGCTCATTTCTAAGGGCTTGAGGGATCGGTGTTTAAGGGCGCAAGACAAATGAACACATCAAAAGGTGAAACGTGGTCTTAGTCACAGCAATGAAATGGCTGATTGTGATTTTTTTATTTGGTTTTAACTGTTTAGAATGTGATGTTAAAGCTGATGTTATAAATGCTGCATTTACTGCTGTGCAAATGTCTTATCTTAGACTTTTTGCCTCATTCTTTTCTTCTCACCATTTTTCCCTTTTCCTTCTTCTGGAGATGCATTCCAGTGGCATTTTCGATTGAGATTCTAGCCTTTTTGTTCTAAGCCAACAGTTAATCCTGACAGACCCGTGTTCTGTAGCTCAAAAAGTAATTACCCTCTTAAGCTTTAAGGCTGAGTACAGAGGAACAAGATGAGGAACACCTGACAAGGATCGAATAGTTTAATGGGATGGTTTTCTATTACAGTACTTCCCTCTGTCTGTTGCAGTATAGCTTACCTGCAGTTTTGTCGTCATAGAATTGTGGAAAATTCTGATACACGTGCATTAAAGATCACTGAGCAACAAACTTGGTTTCTTCTGACACCAGCTAAGCTGTAGCAATAACAGTCAAAGCTGGCACAAAATCAGAAACCGTGAGCGGAGGTTTTGGCTACAATACATCGTTAATGCACGTAACCTATTCATACATTATTGTGTTGGTATAGAGTAACTCCTGATCATGTCTAAGATGCATACAGTACAGCTTATACATGTATTGCAGATAGCTGTACATTCAAAAAAATCCCCCTTGTATTTTTCAGTTTGTTTCTGAGCACTGATATCATCCAGCAGACTCTGTAAAGGCCAGGAGGGCTATAGGGTGAAAACAATCTGCTACAGTCAAAAATCCACAAGCTGCCTGCCGTACCTGCTAATTTCCCTGCTTGACCGATGTGTTCTTCTGTGTGTTTCCAGGTTTCCCTTATACCCCAGGGGAGAGCGCTTTCAGTTTGAATATGGAGTCTACCTTTTGAACAAAAATATCGCCCAGGTGAGTAGGCGGCATCACTTTAAGCGAAAAGCCTGGAGACCGTACAGTAACGGCACGTCTAGACCTTTTCCCCATCCCCGCTTTGAAGAGAGCGTTTCGTCTCGGGAGGCCCTCCACAAAGTGGTGGGGGAAGCGGTAACTCAAGAAATATGTTGAATTGTCCAAGGGCTGAAGCTCGTGGTAGCTGGAGGATTAAGCCGTCATCTTTGGAGCTTGCAGAGTTCATCTGGCAACGCGGAGTCACAGTGGTCGGCTTCACAGTCTCGCGAAGCCACCCCAACACGCCTCTCGGCGTTTGCTGGCTGAACACGTTCCCCTTGGCTGAAGTCTAGCGCGGCCTAGGCAGATGAAAGTGTGGCTTATGTGTTGACCTGTGAGAGTTTTGCTTCTAAATCATTTAGCACCGCATATAACAATTTGCATTCCATCCCTTTTACTTTTAACACGGCAGAAAGAATGAGAAATTATGGCCTCTCTAGTGAATTAGGAAGCAATTAGAAGGAACAGGTGGCTCGGTTCAAATGATCTTACAGGGAGGTTGTGAGCTGATGTGCTGCCACAGCTTGCAAGCAACAAGCTAAAACTGCACTATCTTCCTCCTGTGAAATACCTTAGCAACTGAAACTAAAAGAAGGAAAAAAGTACCCGTTTTGCATTTTCTAGAAATGGGACCTGAGGCTAGGACTGGAGGCTGCCTGTGGGAGGTTTTGAAGTTTCTTAAGCATTTTATAAATTAACATTTCTTGAGCTGCAAGGTTATTATTAGCATAGCAGCCTGTAAAAGAAACCAAACTTGAAAGAAGATGGTTTCATGCTTTGAAGCAGAGGAAACATCTTTCATGATAAAAAGAAAAAATGCTAATAAAAAAGACATGAGGCCTTGGAGTTTTTTTTTCCTTCTTCTAAGTAAATAAACCAAATGGCTGGATTGAGGTTTTACAAAGCCCAGCTGTGAGTAAATGTGTCAGGACACTGAACCCTCACTTTATTAGCTCTGAAACACTGGTGTGAAGTGAACCCATGACCTTTTTTTCACTCCGTATTAGCCTTAATTGGTGACTAAAAATGAAATACTAGTTCACGCCAATCTATTAGAGCCCCTCAGACTGGAATGAACATCAGAACTAGAGGGCAAACTAAATTGAAAATTGGTTCATTACCTCTCTCGTGTTTCTGGGGCTCATGGAAGTACAAGGATTTATTTAGAAAGCAAATTTAAGGGGGCGGAGGTGCAGAACATTGTCTTAATTAAGGCAATATCATTGGAATTAGGGTTTGCCATCCATACCTGTTTAAGTGAAACAGGATATTAAAGTCAATCAAGGGTGTTATGGGCCATATGGAGCTGGTCACGGAAGAGTTTGGTGATGTCACTGTCCCTAGATCCATAAGAAACTGGTGCTGGACATTTGCCTTAACTGCTGCAGGCATTGCCCTGTGTTTGGCAGCATTTTTTTTTTGTGTTAAATTAACTTGTTTTGTAGCTTTATTGGTAATGCTTGCTTTGTTCTAAATCGGTTCAGTGTGCACTGTTATCTGGCATTTTTAATAATTGCATGTGCCTGTAAGTACTTAATATAATGTAGAACTTTCAGAAATCATATCAGCATTTCCTTTCCCCATGTTCATTTCCAGTCTGCGTCTTCACATGCAATTGTGTCCGCACACGTTTTACAGCAAGCCACACACTCACAGAAACCGAGACTAAGTGCTTAATGATTTTCAGAGTAGCAAAGCTGAGATCTAATAAACCCTGCAGATTAAAGTTTGATTGCAGCTCATTGCCCTAGCTTTCACTGTGACTTGAACTCTGTAGAACTGACAGAGAAAACACCATATTCATGCAACTGCCTGAGAATGTGAGGCAGCTGCCATATGGTCTAGATTCAATCCAAAATACACTCTTCAGAGCACCTTTTTAAATGAATGGACTCAATACTTTCAGAATAGAAGAAAGGTTACAATCAGAAGGAGACTGTTTGGCCCACATAGCCTTTTTGACTGCAAATAGACAGTTAATCTTATTGGGACATTTATTAAGAATATCACCTTCAACAAAGTGGCTGGATAGCTTGTTTTGACTCTGCAACAACCCTTTTGTGCAAAAATACAATCTGTACATCATCTTCAGCAGACGAAATGGAAGAAAATGAAAGAGTTTCGCTTAGTGTATCATTTTCTACCATGTTAATTGTAGCCCCATTTGTGTATATGAAACTTTACATGACAAAATGGAAGGTTTTTGGAACGATGAAGTCATAGGACTGTAGAGCAATAGCTAGTGTCTTCATAGGTTCCCAGGAATGTGTGCAACAGGGTGACCTTTGATACACAACATGGAAAAAAAAAACCCAACATTTGCTGTTCTTTATTTGCCTCATCGGTTTCTCACCTGCATCTGTGAGAGGGGCCGGAACCTGCCCACGATCAGTCTGAATGGCCAGATAACATCTGTGTCTTGTGTCTTTCTTTCCTTCATGTGGTACTTTAAAAGGTGACTGGACTCCAAGGACCATACCACACAGAAACAGAAATAAAAATAAAGCAATAAAGGTTTGAAAATTATAATGTGTCTATAAGGAGAAAAAAAACATCACAGTGTTTTTGGCCTAGTGAATATAGTTTGCAGATGCTTTCCTATAAGATTTCACATCTGTTACAGTTTCAGAATGGAAGTACATTTATTGTGTGATGTGAAGTGTGTATCACTTACTTTTATATGGTTTTGCTATTAGATATGTAGTCCGGCATGAGTATACTCACATCCAGGATAAAGTCACTTCAGGTATTGCACCGCTTATAACACCCAGACCATAACACATACTGTACATTAGCAAACTTTTGCTGTGCACTTCGGATCGTGTAGAATGGACTCCCAGAATCTGTTTTATGACCGCCAGGGGGTCCGCGTCTTTCATAGCTGTAGAAAGACTGTGAGAGTTTTCTGCTGTGTTGGAGACAAACCCGCCTTGAAAGAGCCCAGCAGGTAAACTGACTCACCTGACAGCTCGGCACGATTGTCTGCAGAAGGACAAATCAGACAAGACAATGCATTGTGTAACTAGCATCCCCCAGTGGCACAATCTGGAAATCTGTGAAACGTTTTCAGTTTGGACCTTTGTGCATGCACACTTCATTCCACAAACATATGTGCTATGATTTGGGAGTTATAAGCAACGGTATGCATTAAGTAACTTTGTAGTTGCCCTGTATATGACTTTCTTTATTAGTTGTAATTGGGGGCCGGAAACCCAACAGTTCAACCTCTTATTCTGTAAGCAACAGTTTTTCCTTTTATAAATTTGCAGTATGGTTCTTGTTAACTCTTTGGGGTTTATTAGGAAGTAGCAGCTTTACTGACCCTAAGTATTAGAAAATTGAGCTTAGTTTTCTACTAAATATAATTTACTGTGAGGCTGTTTCTAAAGGGCTGGTTATTATTATTTTGTTTTGAGTGGTGTTATTTGCACCCGAATTAGTCTGCCGTACATAGGAATTCTTGTGCCCTGCCGTTGAAACAAACCAGATATCTGGTTTCACAGCAGTTTCTGTCTTAAATGTAAAAGATTAAACATACATATTTTATAAAATTGCCCCATGTGCTCTGTTTGAAATTGATACAGGGCAGCTGGTTAAAGAACAGCACCAGGAGGGGCTCTTTGAAGTTCTGGCCTCTGAATATGTTGTTTTTATTTATACCTCGTGTCAAAGGTAACTGGACACTGCGCAGAGTCAGGTGTTATCAGTTCCTCTTTCTGTTTTCATGTCTTTGGTGTACAGAGAAAAACGCAAAAGCAGCGCACTTCATAACATTTGTCTGCAAGATGATAAAACCCTTTATTGTAGCCCGCCTTTACGGACTCGCTTTGTTGTATCTGTGAGGTACAAATCTCCATTTGCATCTTAGGTTCAATCCAGTGGTGACTTCTCATCTACAAATCCTGTAATTTAATATGCACTTATATATTACAGGCACAAGCTCACAGATTGTGTGGCAGTTAACACAAAGGCATATGCAAGTTAAAAAATAAACAGGCACACCACACATTTGCAAAAGGCAGCAAAGAAATGACACACTGTGTGCTTGGAGTGTGCGTGTTTCCTGATCGAGCAGCAGACGTATTGCCAGTAGTGTATTTTATTGTGCTTGTTTCCTTTTTAAGTACAGTATTGCATTGTTTCTTGTTAGTTTTCCATTGACGTTAACATTATTAAATTACCTTTCCGGATGCTGGCAGCGCTGCCTAGTATTAATATAAAGCCTTGGTTTCTTAGGGGGGCTGGATACAGTTCCACCAAGCCCATGCCAGAGATCTGTTCAGGTGGCAGCGTGAGCTGACCCATCAGAAAGGCCCCGAAGCCATAGATGCTGTGAGCGAAGTGGCGGGGCTTGTAGTTTACACAGACAAATTACCCACGTGAGGGAAACTGGCTCTTAACAAATGCAATTGCATGGACCTGTGCCACGCGCATTTTTCATCCGCAAAGGCTGTGTGAAACAGGCATGTGGGGCTAATTACACCGATGCAGTTTGTGTTGCGTATCTGAAGCCTTGGGTATTGACCAGGCCTTTACAGTGTTACTCTGTGTCCCTTCACGGGGAAGCACCAGGAAAGAAAGCATTAGATACGCTTGATATGTCTTCCTGTTAACAAATACATGTTTAGCTTGTGGGCAGCAACACAGAGTAAAAGGGCACTTCTGTAATGGCCAAGATTATTCCTCTGAATATGAGAAGTGAAATTTTACAGGATATCTTAAGTTCTGTCCGCTGTACAATATCGAATGGCACCAGGAGCTACAGATCTCATATGGCCTTTACAGATTCAGCGCTTGTGTGACAACAGAGAAGTCATGTTGAACAGGTGATTTGAATAACCTCTTAAAAAATAAGCAAAGGTTTGCTTGTTTCGTGTTTATAACGGCTGAGCTTCACTGATCAGACGGACCAGCTGAGCACCTTCCCTCTGAGTCCTGTTGCTGGGAAATCGTGCGTTGCT